CAAACAAACAAACACATTATTTCTTGACATCTTCTTTCCACATTAAAGTCCATTTTAATCCTTTATTGTGTGATTCTTTGGGCTCTAAACTACCAGAATGATCATTACCTTGGAATAGAAGGCAACACTATTAAATGTTGCGGCTTGACCTACTTTTATATTTGGAAATTCATTTCTCATAATAACATAACTTTGGCTTTCAGAACTTGTTACATGAAACAAAGAGAAATGACATACAGGAAATATTCATACATGTGGTTAGAAAAAGTCTACAAAAACGTAATCTGTGTCAGGAAATGTGTCAGGATTGAATTGTGGGAAATAATTCAGCAATTGCTAATGTTCATGTTGTAGCAAAACCCAAAAACATTTAAAAAGGAAAAGTAGAAAGTTTCACTCATTATTTTATTCTTATTAAGTTTCTTTTTAATTCAGGGGGAAAAACTATGATTTGAATGATTAATACAAACATGACAGATTTATTATTGAAAGCTAGATTGATTCTCAACACTGCAGGTTCTCTCTGAATAAATCTTCGACCATGCAATCACAAAAGTGCCTATAGTCTTACTTAAGTGTTTTCTTTTTGCTAAAATAACTTCTCAATTCTCTTAAAATATCTATTTCACTGCAGTATTTTTAAAAATTAAACTTTTATGCTAAAACACTACAAAATTACAAAAATATACTTTATTCCAATTTAGGCTTGCCTCCCATATTTGTAAAATTTCTCCATCTTTTTCAAATTTTACATCTGCATACCTGTGTTTCAGTTAAAGAACTTTCCTACTGAGGATATTACCCACTTTGAATATTCCCATTCCTATCTCCACTTTCACAGAAGCAAAGATGTGCATTATCCTAAGACTAAAGAATAACGTATTCCTTTAATATAGAAGAATTTAATGATATAATTCATGCCATCAAATATATTTTGATACTGTAATATGGACCAGACAAAAGATACATATGTACACATCTAATAAGATGCATGATTATCAAACAATTCCTTAAGAGTTCACATAAATAAATACAAGTTTAAAAAGAGTCACATGCATCAGCAAATATAAGTGCAAGCACAGAAGAGTTGACTTCATATATTCTAGAAGCTTTGGGGCAGTATTTTTTTTGGATGTTGACCCTGTGCCATGTGCGACACTGGGTACTGGATCTAGATTTATCTGATACCATCTGCCTCAATGTAATTAATTCACTTCCTTCTCCAACTCCCCTCTGAGAAACAAAACAGTTTTAGAATTTGCACCAATTTGTTACAATGGGGCAACTACAATGACTCAATCTTTCCATAACATCTTTTATAGGAATCTAACTGTTGCATTCTTGTAACTGTCAGGGGATAGCAATGAATTGTTACCCAAGGCTCACATGAGACATAGATAAATCTAATTTAACAAATAAAAACATTATTTTGTCAAAATATGCTTCCTTATTAGGTAGATGTTAGCAATGTAGAGATACCTACAGAAAGTTACTATTTTCCTTCTTTATTGATTATAGAACTTCAAATTTGTCTAATGTTCTTTTTGCAAAGCCCTTGGGTTTACTCTATTATATTATTCAGTTTCTATATTTTATTACTAACACTAAAAATAAATATAAAATGTGTAATACGTAAAAAAAATTAAGAAAACAAAACTCTCTTGCAACTTTTGTACTCAGAGAAAACGATTATCAACATACTGTTTATAGGTCCTTCCACTCTGTTTATTATTTGTCATCCATTAACTTTTTGTGTTGACTCTGTATGTTCCCTGTTAACTTCTGTGACATGTGTGGGTTATGTTACACCTGTGAGTAGCAAATTACAGGCTTTTCACCTGAAATCTAGGCCCCTCTAGACAAATCCACTTGGTACCTCAAAAACATCTCCAAACACAAACACACTGAATTCTTTTTTCCTTCGTAAATTTTCCAGTTTGTCTGTTCTGGACTCTGTTCTTTTTCTCCTTCACACACTAGAATGATCACCAAATACTGCTGATTCTATGAGCAAAATATCTCCTTAAGGGGCCCTTTCCCCTCTGCCCCAGTCTCTAGCCAGTATTACTTGCCTTCAGGCTCATTTCTACCCAATGTCCTCAGATTTATCATCTTAAAACACACAATTGGGGAGTTCCCCCAATAGCTCCCTACTGATTACAGAAAAGTCCAAATCCTTAGTGTAGCTGACAAGAACCCATTTTAGTGTCTGTTCTCCCCAGGCGAGAGCCACCAGAAGAAGTAGAAATGGGATTACTCTTGATTTGAGACCTACTGCTCCACCTAGTGGTACAGAATAACATCTAGGGATGGGAGTCTAGGGAATATGCCAGGTCAGCCCTATGAGATCAAGCAAACCTGCCAACATGGGTGTTTGTCTTCTAGAGACTGATGTGAAAAGGGACAAAGAACTCTGGAATTCAATGGCCATCTAGTGGTTTTCTGTTAGCACTGAATTCTCCTAGGGAAATGCCCCAAACCTCCAAGCCAGTTATCATTACCATTCTTAAGAGAAAATGAAAAGCCATGATTGCATCTCTTTACTTATTGCTACCAAATAAAAGCACAGAATAATTCTGACCCAACTATTGCACTGCCACGTATATCCTTCCAGAATTTTCATGAACTCAAACAAACTGAAACAGTATACATTCATCTATGTATTAATTCATACACTCCATGCAAATTTAAAGAGCACCTGTAACTCAGATACTACACAAAGCTAATGACACAGGGTCCAAGTGACGATAGCCTATAAATAGGAAATCAGACAAATAAATCCATGACAACAGTGCCGAACGAGAGTCTAAGCTGGCCACGGACAGGTAGGGCTTCCTGAGGTGATTTTGTGGTCAAGTAAGAGTTGGTTAGGTAAAGAGCAGAGTGAAGGGTACTGTTTCAGATTTAAAGGATTACACATGCAACAGAGAGCAGCACATTAAAAGCTGTCCCAGCACAGCATCCACAGCACAGCATCATGACTAAAAGGAACCTCAATCAATAGGAATCCACCAGCCTCTTTCAGGGAAACCCTACAAAGCAAAATGTCTCTGCTTGAAAAAACTTCTTAAGCAAATGCATTTACAATAAAGGTGAAAAAAGATAATATTTAAGCTGCACAACTATTTAAAGCCACACATTTTCAAGTGTCCATTTTGCACGAGTCATATGTAAAAGAAGATGAGAAATGCAATTTCTCTTAATCCTCTTCCTCTTTTTGGAAATAAGGGATAATACTCAACACTTTAAATTTAAAAGGGAAGTCTACTAGTCACGAAGAAGTTTATTCAATAGGTGACGTGCTTTTTATAAAATCCTAAATGGCTAGAGATTAAAAGCATCCATTAAGCTATGTAATACATGATATAATGAGATTATAATCAATACATGATAGAATCACATGTGGCCTGCTACAAACCACATACTTTGCACTGCAGATACCTCATCTGTCTCTGTTGGAGAAATGTCTGCCCAGTCACATTTATTACCACTGCAAAGGGAGCCCCTTATATCTTTGATGAGCACTGCCAGAAAGTTATATTAAGATGGAGACAAGATATGCCTCCCAGAAACTTTGGCATTAATTGTGACCAAACTTGGGGCCCTTAGGAGAAGTCTCTGCTACAAGAGCACATTTCATATAGTGTAATGCACCCCGTTCTCAGAGACCCCATCGTGTCTCTCTCTTAGCCTAGCAGTCTTACCTACCCTGTAACCTGTATGCGCCACATCAAGTTTTGGCTCTCAGTTCCCTTTCTTTTCAGAACATACCCCAGGCCTGCATGTGTGAGATGGGTGATCCCGGTAAAGCGGGATTATCACCTCCATCATGCTAAAGTGGGATTATCACCTCCATTACGCTGGCTATGCTACTTTTGTTGACGCAGTTTCAGATGCAATGAATATTCTGAGAAACTCTATAATACTGCAGACTCATTTTAACATTCCCCTTAACTAAAGGTGCCTGTTTGGCTCAGCTGGTGAAGCATGCAAGTCTTGATCTCGGGGTCATGAATTCAAGCCCCACACTGGGCATAGGTTACTTAAAAACAAAATCCCCTCAACTAAAACTAAGTCATGGTCTTTTTTTTTTTTTTTTTTTTTTTTTTTAAACTGATGGATGCTAGACCACATCTCCACCATTTTCTATTGCCCAGCTGATGCCACATAGTACAGGCATGTCTAGCAACACATTTAAGGATATGTCTATATACCTTAAGAAAAGCATTTCCCATACAAGGTAAGTGACCAGCCATTAGATAGATACTTATTAGGGCACACTAGGTGCTGGAGGCTGGGAACCCAAAGTTAAATGAGACACACCAACATTATGCCACTGTCATCCTTTATCCAAGATTATGTATATAAAACAAGGGTGAACGGCACCTTGTAGCTCTCAATAAACTGTTATTGTTATTATTAGGATGACAATCATCAGTTATATGTCAATATTCTTTTATTTAAAAAACAATTTTTTTAATGTTTATTTATTTTTGAGAGAGAGAGAGTGAGACAGAGCGTGAGCGGGGGAGGGGCAGAGAGAGAGAGATAGAATCCGAAGCAGGCTCCAGGCTCTGAGCTGTCAGCACAGAGCCAGATGTGGGGTTCAAACCATGAACCACGAGAATATGACCTGAGCTGAAGTCGAATGCCCAACCGACTGAGCCACCCAGGCGCCCCTGTCAATATTCTTTTAAAAACTATGACAGACTTTTAAAATGAAAATACTGGGGCGCCTGGGTGGCTCAGTCGGTTGAGCGTCCGACTTCGGCTCAGGTCATGATCTCACAGCTCGTGAGTTCCAGCCCCCTGTTGGGCTCTGTGCTGACAGCTCAGAGCCTGGAGGCTGCTTTGGATTCTGTGTCTCCCTCTCTCCCTGCCCCTAACCACTTGCATTCTGTCTCCATCTCTTTCAAAAATAAATAAACATTAAAATTTTTAAAATAAAATAAAATAATGAAATAAAATGAAAATACTACCAGATTGCCACCAATACTCACCAGTACTATAATATCTCTTCAGTTCTGTACGCCTGATCTCCTTTAACTGATTATTTTTTCTCTTTTTTTTCTCATCAGTAATATATTCCTCTTCCACAGCAATGTTGCATTTGTCTTGTTCTAAAATGACTGCTTTCGCATCCTCTTTTCCAGTGTGGGTCCTTGTGGCAATAGCTGAGGCTGTCTCTGCATTTTGTTTGGCCTGTTTTTTCTTTTTCAATCTAGGAATGAGGGAAAAAAGGAAAAACACTGAAGAAAGAAATGATTTTCTAGGAGAAATTATATTAGTTTCATTCTGTTGGGCTTTGAAAAACTACTTAACTGATATAGAAAACACTTTATATTTCTGTTAATCACATTTTCCTCTTACTGTCTTCTTTTCTAATCACTTAAAAATTCTTATTACATGGAGTCCTGGAGTATTTCCTCAATCTTATATCCTCAGTACTTACATCTCAGAAAATTATTAGGAAATCCTCCAGGCCTGGGGGAAGACTAGATTCTAAATGTTGAACATTTTTTTAAATCAAAATATACAGCTGCCATGTTTGAAGTGTTACATTAAAAAAAGAGAGAGACGGGCCCCCTGGGTGGCTCAGTCGATTGAGCGTCTGACTTCGGCTCAGGTCATGATCTCAGGGTCCATGCGCCTGAGCCCTGTGTTGGGCTCTGTGCTGACAGCTTGGAGCCTGGAGTCTGCTTTGGCTTCTGTGTTTCCCTCTCTCTTTGACCCTCCCCCAATTCATGCTCTGTCTCTCTCTTTCCCCCCAAAATAAATAAACATTAAAAAAATTTTTTTTAATTACAAAAATAAATAGAGAGAGTTTCAGGTTTCAATGGTACCTTTGGACTGATGGGCAAACACATTTGTAAGAATAAATCCTTTATAACTGACTCACACACTGAGTGTAGAACTTTGGCAAGCTGGCTCAGGTCCGAGCAATTCTTTTCCTTTATACATAGATGCTAGTGGTACCAAAGAAAGAGCTGCATTTCCAGAGACAGAAAATGCCATAATGACAATATATATATAGTTATCATTATCATTACTAATATCAGAGCTGACTGATACATTAGTTAACATATTTGATGTTTTCAATTCCTTACTAACTCAAAGATGTGTAAGAGATGAAGTTTATCATAATTTGCTGAGATCCAATAACTCAAAATATTTTCCAACTGAGGTATCACTGTAATTAACTGATGTGTCACTCTGTACTTACCAGGCCTTCTGAAGAATGTTTTTACCTTACCAGAATATAAAGAACAAGGGTCCTGGCCTCTACTACACATGGCAGTCTGCTCCAGTGTAAATATTTTAAATTAGGACTCTTTTTGCTCCCTTTCTCTTTACACACAGTCACTATCTCTGACACACACATGTCTATTTCCTTTGCTCTCTGGAGCATTTATACAATTCAATGTTGGGCAAGGATAAAGAAATGTTTTGGGAGAAAAATGAAATACCCACAGGAATAATACAGGGACTAAGGTTAGATTTTATGCTTCTCTGCTTTGTGACATCGAACAAATCCATTTAACAGTTTGGAGAGGTCCCTCACTGAGGCCTCGCTATTTAATTGGGTCCGATTGAGAGAATATGTGTCAACATGCAACACAAATAAACAAACAGAAATAGTAAAATATCCCCTCACATCATCACATAATGACATGAGAACTAAGCATGGTAAGATACATAATACTGGGGCGCCTGGGTGGCGCAGTCGGTTAGGCGTCCGACTTCAGCCAGGTCACGATCTCGCGGTCCGTGAGTTCGAGCCCCGTGTCAGGCTCTGGGCTGATGGCTCAGAGCCTGGAGCCTGTTTCCGATTCTGTGTCTCCCTCTCTCTCTGCCCCTCCCCCGTTCATGCTCTGTCTCTCTCTGTCCCAAAAATAAGTAAACGTTGAAAAAAAAAATTTTTTTTTTAAATAAAAAATAAATAAAAATAAAAAAAAAAATAAAAGATACATAATACATTCAGCTTTTGAGATAAACTCTCATATTCCAACAAAATATTTCAACTAGGCTGTAATTCATTGAACACTTAGCAAGCAGTCATGTCCTTAGACTCTAGCTGGCTAATAAATAAGCATATGGCCTAGGAGAAAGGACAGCTGGGCAAAAATCATAGATGAACATACTCCCCATCTCTTAGTTTAGCTATCTTTTTATGTTTACTTGTTAAACCAAACCACAAACAAAACCAAACTGGAGATTCATAAAAAGGAGTTCTATTCAGTAGACATGTTTTTATTTTCTAACTTCAGATTCTAAATTTTTTTTTTTCTGGTAAGAGCCTGTAGTTCTTCACAATGTTGAGTCAGATAATGTTCCTAATAAAACAATTTCTCTCTCGATCAAGATTATTATATGTGAGGCTGAAATTAGTATGCAGTAACCTAGACATCATGAAGAGATTAGCACTTTGCTTAGGGAGGTCTATGCAAAGAGCTGATCTCTGTATCCAAAAAGCTGGCTATGAATGGGCTGATCTTCTTCTGATATACTGGCTTCTCAAAAACATGCTTGAGATGAACCTTACTGACACTTCCAAAAATCATTCCTTCCAGGAGGAGAGAAAAGAGGTGTTAAAAATTAATTCTACACAGCCTGAGATATGTTGCTTGTTCCTCTTCTGGATTTTTCCACTTTAGGTTGATGTAAATGTCCTCATTTCACAGTCCCCATGATAATTAAATTCACTCAGATCTAGGGCACATGTTTTGATGAACAGCAGCACTCTTTGGGGACATCTCATTAGAGACTGATTTTCACACGTGGAAATAACAAAATGGGATACACTGTTTTATTCATTTGCCCCTTTTCTGCACAGACCATTAATGTCAACACATATAGCCAAAAGTAATTGTTTAAAGAAAAAATGCTAGGAAACAGCAATACCAAACTTGTTTAACAGAAAACAGAATACAATTTAATACTTCACCAGTTTTACAATCAGCTACATCTTTTGTTTTGATTAGAGTACTCATGAGAATTTATTTCTCTGGAGTTTATCAACATGGTTAGAACATTCTGATCTTGTAACTGGAAATCGGATGTGAGTTTGGGAATCCCACTGTAAATTCTTTCTTCAAAGCATGGAAGTACATTTTTAACCCCGTGCCTAAGAGGGAAAAACTGCCATCCGATGTCTGTGGTACAGTTAATACTCTTCTAACGTTCCTGTTTAGGCCTTCTCTGTTGTTTTGCAGGTCAATATCTATCATGGTAAGACATGCTCACAATAGGGTTTTGTTATCACTAAATTAAACTGAAAACAAAAGGTTACACAAGAACATAAACGAAGCTTTTTCTAATGACACCAAATGTACAGTTGTTCATTTTGTGGACCAAAAAAAAAATACTTCGCAAATCATCTTTTATTTTTTTAAAGATTTGTGGGGTTTCTAAAAAAAAATGTTTGCTTATTTATTTATTTTGAGAGAGAGCGCATGCACGCAAGGTGGGTAGGGGCAGAGAGAGAGAATCTGAAGCAGGCTCCGAGCTGCTGTGGGGCTTCAACCCCAGGAACCAAGAGATCATGGCCTGAGCTGAGATCAAGAGTTGGATACCTAACCCACTGAGCCACCCTAGAGCCGCACTTGGCAAATCATCTTAAGCATATGAATGACTGTAAACAATGAGACATATTTAAATTTGATGGCTGTGAATATGAGTCCAAAACCCCACTTTTATTTTGTTATGCTGCATTTATTTTTCTTTTAAGAGATCATAATTACATAAAACAAAATTTTTTTAATGTTTATTTTTGAGAGAGATACAGAGCGTGAGTGGGGGAGGGGCAGACAGAGAGGGAGACACAGAATCTGAAGCAGGTGCCAGGCTCTGAGCTGTCAGCACAGAGCCCCACGCAGGGCTTGAACCCGCAAACCGTGAGATCATGACCTGAGCTGAAGTCAGATGGTTAAGTGACTGAGCCACCCAGGTGCCCCACATAAAACAAATTTTACTACTCAGTCTCCTCCCACTACTAAAACCAAGCCCTGTCAATTCTGTTTCCTAAATCTTTCCTTCTCAAATTCATCTTCTCTTCTTGATCTCTGCTCCCACTAAATCATTTCAGGTTTTCATCATCTCTCTGGACTATTTTTGACAAGATAATTATTCTTTGTTTTATTGTAAAAATTATACTTGTTCATATTCAAAAATATTAAAAATGCAGAAAGGTAAAAAAGAATAAAACTTAAATGAAATGTTACCACTAAGAAGCAACCACTGTTTGGGAGAGATAACAGCAAATCCAGAAGCTGGAGAAATCACACCTTCCCCGAGGGCAGAAGAATGAGGCAGTATGGCTCCGCTGTCTTGACCCTGACCTCTTCTTTGTACCTTCCTTATCCTTAAAGGAATATTAAAGGACTTATTCTGGAATCTCTTGGCTTTTTTTTTTTATTAAAATTGTGTGCACCTGTAGGGCACATGCACACCTCACTTTTCCCTGCTAGCACCCAACCCAGAGTTAGCAGACTTGAGAAATAAACAAGGTGATATTGCTAAAGAAAGCATTTTTAGTAGCTGGATTAAAAAACTGTTTTCCTCTGAAGCATTTTCCTTTACTAAAGGAAGTAAGCTCAGGGTTCTGGCAACAATCAGAGGCAGGGCCTTGAGCAAGTTCCTTGCTTTGTCTCTGCAGGGCTCCTCTGTCACTTGCCCACATCCAGTGGAATGAAACAAAAAGGCATGGAATGATGAGAGAGGGCTTTCTTTAGCACCAGAGTGGAAGCTTCACAAGGGCAGGGATGTGTCTAGGTTTTGTTAAAATGCCAAACTCCCAGGTCCTCTCCATGGTACACATTAGGTGCTCAGTAAGTATTTCTTGAATGGATGAACAAACTTGAATACATTCTGATTTGGTTGAGATCTGCTTTCCTACGAACATGCCATTTCACAGTCTTCTTAATTAGCAGCATGTTGTCAAAAGTAAACTCACATCTCCTTATTAATCTCACTTGATTTAAAAACAAAATACAGGGGCTCTTGAGTGGCTCAGTCAGTTAGGCATCTGAATTCAGCTCGGGTCATGATCTCACGGTTCATGGGTTCAGGCCCCACTGTCAGGCTCTGTACTGACAGCTCAGAGCCTAGAGCCTGTTTCAGATGCTGTGTCTCCTTCTCTCTCTGCTACTCCCCCACTCATGTTCTGTCTCTCTCTCTGTCTCTCTCTCAAAACCAAAAATAAACGTTAAAAGAAAAATTAAA